TTTTTTACTACCGGTTCTGTGGGCGTGGCTTATTTTGTGGGTGTGGCTTGGAAGTCATGTGACTAGGTGGGTGTGGCTAGCTGGCCAGAGTCATTTCTGGAAGGTCCTCGCACTTACGACCCGACTCATTTGTTTGCTTTTAACACTGATCAGCTGTAGGACGGCCCTTTGAAGCCCTGCGGCAAGAGTTTAAACAGTTTTTTTCCCTCTAGTCATCAGCTGGGACTCAGGAGGCAGCAATAGATTGGGGGTGGGACCAAATAAAAGGTAAGAATAATGTGGGGGGGTGGGAGGGCAGGGGGGGAGAACCGGTTCGGTGATGTCATATCATCACCGCTACCGGCTCGGCCGAACCGGACTAAACCGGGAGGAACCCACCACTGGCTTCTGGCAGTCTGTGCACGTTCAGTCAAATGAAATAACTGTGCATCAACCACCGAAAGAGATACCCAACAGCAGCTTCTGAAGCAGCCTTAGAACCTCACAAAAGATGCAGCTGCTTTAATCCCTTGGAAAAGTGTGTGTGCTAAGAAGCCTCTCAATGACCGATGTAGATTTTGGATATCTGGATTGGTGGATATGAAACCGTAAGTCATAGGAGTGTGTGCAAATTTCTACTTTCCCAAAAAAATCCCCACTGGCGACAAATAAGTCAAGTCTCTCAAAGGGGCAGGATTGGATGGAGTCGGGCATCTACTGCATATTATTTACATATTATTGGCTAGAGCAATCAATGTTTTGCGCCAGCTGTGCACAATAAACAATGGAGATGCTCCAATTTATAGCAAAGGTGCCATAACCTTTCTCATCTTCTCGCCACTCTTGCATAGGGAACCTCTGTGCCTACAGAGTTGCTTTGCTTTCTCCTCTTTCCCGCAGCCCCGTTTTCTCCCCCTAATCTGGATGAATGATGTGGCCACACAATATCCAACTTGGTAAGCATTCAGCCACTTGACACTTAGCAATGCTAATGTCAGATGCCAGACAAACTGGATGTCGGACAAAAAAACCCAGTTTCAGCCTTCTATGTGATGTGCAGAGCTGGCTTCAGCTGAGTGTTTCAAAAGACAATGGTGTAATGTATGCTGGAAAGCTGATCAGGCTGCTTCACGTACAACAGGAAGGAGCAAAGAGGAGTCACAAGTGAGATTTTTGGTGGTGGAAAGACAAAGGAGAGGAAACTGATAGGCTTTGATCCCTACTAAATCCCTCTCTCTCCCCCCACTTTATCGCACGTTAGGCAATGTTGTTGTTTTTATAATGGTTACATGATCTTCTGCTTTGCCCAGGACAGGGGTGATATTCACTTACCTTCGCTACTGGTTCGCAAATGTGAGCGTGCGTGCTCACTTCACTCACACGTGCCACATCTGCACATGCGCATGGCCTTCCACACATGTGCACAGCGACAAAAACGGGACGTGACTATGTCTGGGTGGATGGGTGGAGCCTCCCGCAGCCACCGCTATGGTTCACCCGATCCCGTTACAACCAGCTGAAGACCACCACTGGCCCAGGGCCTGTGTATACTGTATACAGGTAGTCCTGGATTTATAACGGTTCATTTCATTTCATTTCATTTCATTTTCATTTATTGGATTTATATACCGCCCTACTCCCAAAGGACTCAGGGCGGTGAACAGCCACAGAAGAAAACACATAAATACAAAATTTAAAAACAGAATAAAACCGAATTAAACAATTTGGCCGAGACAAATTTAAAACACCCACATTTAAAACACCCAAATTTATTAACCATTCAAAGTTATAACGGCATTGAAAAAAGTGACTTATGACCATTTTTCACACTTATGACCATTGCAGCCTCCCCATGATTTACATTTGGATGCTTGACAACTGGTTCATATTTATGACGGTTGCAGTGTCCCTGGGACATGTGATCATCCTTTGTGACCTTCTGACAAGCAAAGTCAATGGGGAAGCCAGATTCACTTAACAATCACATTACTAATTTAACTACGGCAGTGATTCTCTTAACAAATGTGGCAAGAAAAATCGTAAAATGGGGCAAAACTCGCTTAACAAATTTCTCAGTTAGCAACATAAATTCTGGGCTCAATTTCTACTACCTGTATTTCTAGGAAACACAAAAATCAGTCCTTTTGTGTGAACCCCACAAAGGCCCACATCTCCCTGAAGAGCTGGGGTATCTTACTCTTTCATCATTCGTGAGGATTAATCCACCCTACCAAATTGTGTGGATGAAACCAAATCCCAGCAAACCATTAAGTGAAGTTCTTTCCAAGTCTATCAACTTTGGGAGAAGGAAACATCTGTGGTCCAAATATACTTTCTCATGCATAGTCTATGCATTTCCTGTTCTTTCTTTTTTCTCAGGCAGTCTCCTTGTCCCAAATTATTACAGTATATTTTTATTTCTACCTACAACCTAAAAAGATCCTTGTATTTTGTTCCTATTGTCAGCTCCTTATTATGTGTCAGCCTCCTCCTCCTCCTTCTCTTTCCTGGGTTTCCCCATCACTTCCCTTCCTTTCTTATTTTAAATAATTGCTGATTCCATGAAAGTATTGTTCATGTAATCATTCTTTCTATTTTGTAAAAATAAATAAATAAATACTGATGACTGACTCATGAATGGGTCCAATTGGTTTACAAGAAAATGTTGGGAGTCCAAGAAAATACTCAAATTCTGTCCTGGCTCTGAGCACTGGAGCACCATTCCCCATACCCCACACCCAGTGGCGGGATTCAAGTAATTTAACAACCGGTTCTCTGCCCTAATGATTTCTTCCAACAACCAGTTCACCAAACTGCTCAGAAAGTTAACAACCGGTTCTCCCGAAGTGGTGCGAATTGGCTGAATCCCACCACTGCCCACACCCTGCCAAGAGAAAGATGGAAATTCTCCAATCCTAGGATTAAGAGGACCTGTAACCCAAAGCGACTCAGTTTTGCTAGGATTGAGTTGAAGCTTATTTATCCTGACCTCCACAACCTCAATAATCACTTTTTTTAAAAATTTGATTTATATGCCGCCCTTCTCCGAAGACTCAGGGCGGCTTACAATGTGCTCAGCAATAGCCTTCATCCTTTTGTATATTTATACAAAGTCAGTTTATTGCCCCCACAACTGGGTCCTCAATTTACCTACCTTAGAAAGGATGGAAGGCTGAGTCAACCTTGAGCCTTGGCGAGATTCGAACCCTGCAGTAATTGCAGGCAGCTGGTCTTAATAACCAGCTTAATAACAGGGTGCCTTAAACCCCTGTACTACCAAGGCTCTTGGTCAGCCGGGACAAAGATATATAGTACAACTAAATATCATCAGCATGCTGATAATACTGCACTCTTAAGTGACAGATGACATCCCCAATGGCTTCATGTAGATGGTGAACAAAAACAGGGAAAGGTACACCAAAAAGAAGAGACTTAAGGTTAGACTGCTCTCCCCTCTCAAATCAGTGGTGGGATTCAAATTTTTTTACTACCGGTTCTGTGGGTGTGGCTTGGTGGGCATGGCAGGGGAAGGATACTGTAAAAATCTCCATTCTCTCCCAATCAGCTGGGACTCGGGAGGCAGAGAATAGATGGGGGCAGGGCCAGTCAGAGGTGGTATTTACCGGTTCTCTGAACTACTCAAAATTTCCACTACCGGTTCTCCAGAACTGGTCAGAACCTGCTGAATACCACCTCTGCCTCAAATGGAATCAAACTCAGAGGAAGGAGGAGAAACATTATAATGCCCCACAATATCCTGAGCCAGTGCAGAAGACTGTCAATAGTATTGAAGGCCATTGAGGGATCTAGATAATCCATTTCCTCCAAGACCCTTTGGTTCTACAAGCCAACCATCTTCTCAGAAAACGTCTCTGGAGACAGGACAAAAATGTTCAACTCTATTGGATCCACTGATGGGCTTGTCGAGGAGAGGATGGACCACGGTTTCTTTCAAAGATGGCAGGACCATGTCCTCTCTCAATAATACATTTACTAGAGGTCCTCACCGGTGGCGGAATGCTGCCGATTTAACAACCAATTCGGTGAGCGTTCGCTTCGCACTAAAAATTTGAGCATTTAGAAGCTCAGCTACTTACCTTCCAAGTCAGCAACGGTAAGTAGAAAAGCGAGGGGGGGAGAAATCAGCTGTGCCGCATGATTGAGATGAGCTAGAAAGCAGGAAATAAAGGACAGGATAGGGCGGGGGCAGGAGGATGGGGCCAGCTGATCGTTGGAGCTACTGGTTCGCCCAAACTGGTTGAATACCAACTCTGGTCCTCACCAACCAGGAGAGACAAGGACCTAAATTGCAAGTGGATACATTAATAGCCCCAAGGATTCTGTTCGCTTATTCTGAATTCCTAACATATATTGTACCTTCAAACATAGTTCCCCTCTCATGCTGGTGGCATTTTAGCTACCTACGGCTAGCACTTGGAGAACTAAGATAGCTTTTCATGAATATGATTAAATATTTCTTTTCCCTTTCTTTTTTATTTTCTCTTCCTCGCCAATTACGGGAAGTTTGAAAGAAAAATTCTGAAGTGGTTGTAAGCCTGTGTAAAATTAGTTACTGTTTTCCTCAGGAGCAACTGGTTTACAAAAGAAAATTTTGATTAAAAGACACAGACAAATATGCAAATATCATTTATATGTGTCATTTTGAGACCACAATACTAAAAGGCGTTCCCTATTCAGAAAAACAGGAGATGAGGTACCCAGATTTTTAAAAAATGGGGAAGAAAAATCTTGATGTTCAAATAGTTTAAATGGTATTCCCTTTGTTTGCATCAAATACCATGATTAGTTAAAATTTTGAAAAAATGTAAATCTTACAGCTATGGAAAAATGCAGTGAAACTCTTGCATTAACTTTGGTTGGATAATAAGGTAGCTACTTAACAATGTCTCACATGAATGAATGTAAATCAGAAGGAATTCCTCCCTATTTATCCCCAGTGAGTTAAACATGGTTTGTCACCCTGAGAGAATATTCTATAACATAGGAATAATCAGAACACATTGTTGGCTCCAATTTTCCCTCATTTTATTTTTCAGAAAGTAGTCGGCTTCACAATTTAGTTCCAGGTAGGAGGAGAATTAGCTATATAATACGAACTGTTTGGGGAAAGTAGGAAATGAAAGGGAACACTTCTTATACTCAGTCATGTTTCCCTGCACTTACTAGAGCTATAGAAATCGCCCTGATTTTCATTGTTATGTGCTTTGTATGTTGTTTGTATTAAGCAAATCTGCTGCTTTCCTTGCCTATTCTCCCCACAGCAAATCCACACGGATCTTTTGAAAGAAAACTGAACTCTCCTAGACAAAGACTGATGCCACATCCATCTGACATGTCCAACAAATGGGTTTTTGTGCGCTCTGTCAGCATCTTAATCAGAGTGTCATGCTAAGCCCACACGACACCTTCTCCGTGCCGGAAGCTCAGCCAGGACTTAATCCTTCAACTTGTATATACTGAACTAACATTCCGATGAGCCCTGATAATTCGTACCTTTTACATGTTTTCTGTCACCCCTTCAGATTTATCACATGTCATGAAATCGTTCGCCCTCTGCCTTGTCAATCCTACTTCAGAACTGTAAAAAAAAAAATCCTGCAGTAGGTTAGAGCAAGCTGCTGTTGACTCTTCATTAGCAAGTCAGCCCGTTTAAGCTGTGAGTAAGGTGGCAATTGAATTCCTAGCTGAGAGTAAGCCCCACTAAATCCATTGAATTCATTTCGTAATAAGTGTATACTGTAAAAAAAAGCTGCTAATTCATCTGACAGGTTCTATTTTTGCTTGATAAAAGGAGAATAAGCAAATGGATTGGTCTTGGTAATCAAATTAGATAGGCATGGCAGCTTTGTTAATTATTGAAATCCACAAAACCTAGTGGTCCCACAAGCAATAGCAATAGCAGTTAGATTTATATAACGCTTCACAGTACTTTACAGCCTTCTCTAAGCAGTTTACAGTGTCAGCATACTGCCCCCCCCCACCAACAACTTGAGGCCTCATTTTACCGACCTCGAAAGGATGGGAGACTGAGTCAACCTTGAGCCAGTCAGGATCAAACTGTTGGCAGTCGTCAGAATTAGCCTGCAAGACTGCATTCTAACCACAGCTACTTCTATGTAGTTTCTCGGCATCTGTGACCACAAAGTTCGCACAATTCTTATTGGGATGTTCTGAGGGTTTGAGGCTCCATGTGGGCCAGTGATACAGAAGAATGTCTTGCCCTTGTATTGTTGAAGATCCAACGCATTTCTTTTCACTTCGGGGGACTTCCGCACCACTGCTAAATCCTCTCTCCAATCTCTGAAGTAGGCCCACCATCTTCATGCCTATTAGCCTTGGAATGCCAGGGAGGCCTAATGCCAAGGAGGCTAATTGTGCCCAGGAAAAGACACAAATGGCACACCAGGTGAAGATGTGCAGAGGCCTTTTTGGCCATAGCTGCTGCCAGCTCATCAAGCAGGAATGATGAATCCAAGAAGACTTTCAATTGACTTTCAATCATCTCATAGGAAATGGCATCCAGTCAACAACAAGCTGAAAATGAATTCTCAGATTACAGAACTTCCAATTATTAATCTAATTTGGCTTGTAAAGCAGCTATAGGAGAGAGTTTACAAGAAATGAGGGAGGGGGGGTTGGACAATTTTTTAGTAACATAATAACATGATAGCACGCAGAGTTGCCGTCAGGAGTTGGGCAACCTGTAAATTGAACGCATGTACAGGTAGTCCTCGATTTACAACCTTCAAACTTGCCACAGAATTCCTAATAGGTATCTACGACCTGGATTCGAATTTCTGAAGATGATCATGACCTCCCACAGTCATGTGACTGAACTTTGGGTGATCAGCCACAGGCCACATTTAGGGCTTTTTGCAGCATGCTGAGGTCACTTGACTGAGTTTTATAACAGTTTCACCCAAGCCTGGTTTTTGGCAAAACTGTGCCCATAGCAAACCATTGGTTTGCATAACAACCACACTGTTCGCTTGACAACTGCTGTAAAAATAAAAAAAAGGATGGGTGACCCAATTTACAACTGTCACAAGTTTCAATCACAATGGGAAGGCTCTATTATGGTTGTTAATTCTAGGATTACCTGTATATATGAATAAGAAGTACATGCATGCACATGCATACATGGAATGAATCGGTGAGGAGTTATTTTCTTTCCTCCTGAATTTGCCAAGGATTTGAGGTATCACCTGTTTCTGATTTTCCTTTTCCATTTACCTTTGTTCAATAGGAAAATGGCACACTTCTGTTCATGTATGAACAGAAAGAATAATTGCTGGGCTATTTCTCTTCTGGAGGATTCAAGAACAGGTCTTTGAGGGGCTTTTACTTTTGATGCTGTATCAGATGCAGACCAGCTTCCCACCCCTGCATTTAGAGCAATAGTGTCCTCTCTGTACTAGTTAAGTGAGGGAGTACTAGTTAAGTTTCTCCCCATCTCCCTCCCCCATCTGAGGAACTAAAGAGAGAGAGAGGTCTGAGGAGAGAATGCTTCTGGAAAACATAACTGAAGAGATCCAATTCTTGAATCCAAAGAAAATGGCTGCCCAAATAATTAACGCAGAGCTTTACGGATGCTTCTGAAAGTCAATATGCACATTTACACAAAAGACATATATTACTATTGGAATCTACCTCTTTCTTTAGCATAATAAGAGTTTGCATACTGCTGTCAGGAGGAATTTGCACAAGGACCTATTCTCTGGCAGGTAATAGTAAGCAAATTCCTTAGGATCAAAAGGGGAATCAAATGAAAATAACGATTAGGGGGAGAAAAGTAGTTTGGGATGTTGTAGGCAAGGATGCTGTGTATGAGTGTGCTTGTGCCACGAGGAAACTCAGCACAATTGTCTAGGTAACTTACTAAGAAATCTGAGAGTAAACATCCCTCCACCCCATATCCACTCCTAACTGAATTGCTTTACCTGGAGTGAGGACTGCCAAAACTAGTTTTATTTTGTAAAGGCATTCCTATGCAGGTGGTCCTCAACTTACGACCCCAATTGAGCCCAGAATTTATGTTGCTAAGTGAGAAATCTGTTAAGTGAGTTAAGTGCCCCATCTTTTCTTGCCACATTTGTTAAGTGAATAACTGCGGTTGTTAAGTTAGTAATACAGTTGTTACTAACTGAATCTGACTTTGCTTGTCAGGTCACAAAAGGGGATCACATGCAACCGTCATAAATACAAACCAGTATTTTGAGGAGTATATTGAGAAGAAAGGTTGCTGTACAATAAAAAACTTGAAGTGGAAGAAAGGCAGCTCTGAACAAACAAATATAAATATATTAAGATAAAGAATGAATTGTTTAAGAATAAAAGAGGGTAAATATGTACAAATAGTAAAGTTAGAATTTAGGATAAATGAAGAAGGTGTTTATGTATGCAAGTATAGAAATACTGAGGTATGTTCAAAAAAAAAGGAAAAGGGGGGAAGACGATATTGGCAAAAATTGTATTTGAGTAAAATGTATTTGAATTTGACTAATTGTATAAAATAAGAAACGATCAAGACACTGTTCAAAAAAAAAAAAAAGAAAAATGTGGATGAAGGTGGGAGAGGAGGAAAAAACCCAATAAAAATTGTTTTTTTTAAAAAATAAATAAATATGAACCAGTTGTCAAGCATTTGTATGTAAATCACGTGACCATGGGAATGCTGCAAAGATGATGTGAAAAACGGTTATGTCACTTTTTTCAGTGCCATGGTAACTTTGAGCGGTCACTACATGAACTGTGGTAAGCCGAGGACTACCTGTAACAGGTCTGATTGTTTTGAGGGTGAAATTCATATTAATTCAAAGCCCCCAAAAGCTGTGTTCCCTCAACTCCTGGTTTGTCTTTAGGTGCGAAGTATCACAGTTGCAAAAAAGTGAATGATCACCTGATTAGTTTAGTGGGACTAACAGTAAGTTAGAGCCGATTCATGAAACCGCTCTTCCATTCAACTGTCTCCAACAACTACTTGATGGATTCCCCTTTTGCACTACATATCTCTGCATCCGCTAAGATGTGCAGGATAAGCTATTTGGCAGATGCCTCAGTAGTTAGAAGCCCACCTGTCTGGCCTGCAAATGATTTTCCCACACTTCTTGGTGAGCTGAAAATGGTGTTCCGGAAATCTGTAAAGATTCGTCCTTTTCTTCCAGCCTTTTCATGGTTCATTGAAAATGCGTTAGCTTTGAGTGCTTATTTAACCAGAAAACTGGCAGAAATAAACAAATACAGGTAGTCCTCAACTTACAACAGTTCACTTAGTGACGATTTGAAGTTACAACAGCACTGGAAAAAAGTGACATGCCTGTTTTTTTCACAGCATCCCGATGGTCATGTGATCAAAATTCAGATGCTTGGAAAATTGACTCACATTTATGATAGTTGCGGTGCCCCCAGGAGCATGAATTACCTTTGGCAAACTTCTTACAAGCAAAGTCAAGGAGGAAGCCAGATTCACTTAACAACCATATTACTAACTTAACAACTGCAGTGATTCATTTAACAATGGTGGCAAGAAAGGTCATAAAATGGGGCAGAAGTCACTTAACAACTGTCTCGCTTTAGCAACAGAAATTTTGGGCTCCATTGTGGTCGTAAGTTGAGGATTACCTGTGTATTCAATAACTGGAGAGCAGAGAGGTTATGATTTTAATTTTGGACCAGCTCCCACATTCCCACCCTAATAAACAAATGCATTTCCATGGTACTGGATTAAAGAATGGGCAAGGGTTAAGTGAAATCTACAAGTCTCACAGGTGACTCTCTATAGTTTTAACCAAATCATACCCTTTTTTTTAAAGCCTTCCAAAACTGTAACTAAGTGAGCTAACAAAAAGGAGAGGGGAGGGGAAGAGATCAGATCCCCTCTCCCATTTTGTAATTTACAAACTGCCCTCAAATCTGATTAAGAATTAACTCCAAGTTACCCCAAATCTAAAGGCTCAGATAACTCAATTTCATTAGCTCCTGGTTTATTTTGGACTGGCTTTTTCCCCCTTTAAAAAAAAAAAAAAATCACTGTAAGCCATTAAATAATGACCAAGTGCATCAGGAATTATCAAGCCTGTAACAGACCTGGAATTTACAGAAAGCCCAATGGTAGTCTATAGAAAACTGGTGTCCACTTTGTCAATTTTTAAAGTTAGTTGAGGTGTACTGATGATAATAAAGACGACTTCAAAATCCATTATAAAACAGGTGTGCCATAAAAACATACTTATTCGTAGCAATCCAGAAGAATGCTGGAAACTGAGTCAGCTGACCGGTTTATCTCACTGGTCTACCTGGGCCAAAAGTCTTCCAGGGCCTCAGAAAGAAATCTTTTCCTTCCTGCAATCAATTTCTCTCTCAGATTTATTGTAATTAATGTAGTACTTTTCCATGTGTCAGCTATTCCCGAGTTAGAACACACGCTATCAGGCTGTTGAGCATATCAAGGAACGGGAAAATTCTGTGCATTTATTGCACTTGAAAATTGTTAAACGGGTTAGAGAAATATTCTGCCATCCTTACAAAAGAACATAGCAATGGCAGGAAAGCCTGAGTCGATGCTGGAAAAAAAAGAAAAGAAAAGAAAAAAAAACGAAAAAAAAACCCCTTCTCTGGTACAGAGTTGCAGCCTGCCTGCCTGCAGTCAAAACGGAGCTGCAGTTACTAATTGTACCAAAGATAGACTGACACTAACCTGATGTTCACTAAAGGTCATGGAGCCAATCCAGGAGCTCCCTCAGCTGGCATCTGAAAAAAAAAAAGATCTAAATGAAAAGACCAGCTTTTTAAAAGAAAAAAAAAAGAAAGAAAAGAGGTTTTCTCTTGTAGATGAGAATGAGAAATAGATGCTACATCGGTTTTTTTTTCCTATTTGGCCCAAGTTTCTCACAGTTTCAGAAGGCCTTGGTTTGGTGCCTTTCTGGAAGAGAATCTGATTGGGTAGTTCGGTTCCCGTGTGCCTACCCTGGAGTATTTGGGACGGGGGTCCTGCACAGAAAAGCAGCCAACCCCAGGAGGAAAGACTTAAGACTTAATCCATCCCAGCATCTCTGAAACAAAGCAGAGCAAAATGAGTTGCAGAGATTTCACTTCCTACTTCTTGCACACTTACTAAGCCCTTCCACAGAGGGTCCTTTAGAACCATAATACTGTGCGTAGAGCTTGGGGGGTTTTTTCCCCCTCCCCCTTCCTTTCCCCAGACGACTTTTAAACCTAATTTCCATTTTTCAAGTCATTTGCAAAAGCCTCCCGTTGCGCCAAGCATTCCGAAGGGAGAAAAGGCGTCTGGATTCGGGGAAGGCGTGCGGGAGTGCCGTGCTCGTTTCGGCCAAAAGAGGGCAGTGTTGCTGTTTTGAATCCCAGACGGCGGAGAACCGTACCTGGCGGTGTGTTCCGGGCTGGTAAGTAACAGCTGCTGTCTCTTTTCTTTTGCTATGTACAAGTTTTCACATGTCTCCGTATTCTGTAGTTAATCAGGACTTTGTAACTATCTGTCCTGCCTATTAACTGCACCAACTTCGAAACTGTTTAAAGGTTAACACATTTCACTCCCATGCATGAGTGGCACACATAAGCGGGGGAATGCTTGCTCGTGGGACTTTTCCTGCTACAAGGAAAGAAACCCAGCAAAGACGGAGAAAAGACTTAACATTTGCAAAGTGCTAACAGATAACTTAGGTAGCGTCTGCTTTTACTATGATTTGAGCAAATTATGCCCTTGCGCGCATAATGTGGATTGGCAAGGGCTGTTTGTCAAATCTCAGCTAAGGGTCCGCCTTGGAATTCAAACTTGGAGAGCATTCACACATGCTTTAAGGAAGGACGTTGGATCTCCTTGTAAAAATCAGGTTTTCATTTTCTTTGGATCAGATCTGTGCTATTGGGAGAAAGGATTAATTGGAAAACGGCTCTTACGAAATGCAAAATGACATTATGGTTTGTTGAGCAGTCAGACTAGGATTTGGCATTTTCAAGTCTTTGCCCAGGACTGAGGATAGGCAGATGGTGGTATCCTTGCTGGGGATGTAAGCAACTCCAAGTAAAGCTGCCTTTTGCAACTGACTGAGGGTGATTTTTGTCAGTGTTGATGGCGTTCAAATAGTACTTCAATTGTTTTGGGATCGCACCCTATTACTATTGGTACTGTCTTGGCTTTCTTTTGCCACAGTTGTTCTACTTTTAGATGCAGGTCTTTGTATTTTGTGATTTTCTCCAGTTCTTCTGCTGTCTCCGGGTACCCCAACATCTACTATCCAGACTTTGTGTCTTTCTCATTGGCAGTTACTAAGTCTGGAGTGTTATGCGGAAGGTTCATGTCTGTTTGAATTTTAAAGTCCCAGAGCACATTTTAAAAGTTGCTGTGATTATTAATACTGCTACTATTACTACTACTACTACTACTACCACCACTACTACTACTGTTAGCCTTCACCTTTTTTACTTTATTCAAGCATTGTGTGTAATACCGCTAACTCATTTCTCCTAATGCTTTTCCTAGAATGAAAAAAAATGCTATTTTTCTCTGCAAGGGCAAAACTCAACTGGAAGTGTGCTCTTTGCACGTTGATGGATCTTCTATTGCACACCTTAGGAAAGCCAACTTCATGATGAGAACCTTAGCTAATTGTAATGGAATGCTATTCATCAAACTGAATAGCAGAGGCTGCCATATTAATTCATATAAATGACAGGGTAGCATTTCTCTGCCATAGAGAGATTCAGTGGGTGACTAGCAGGTGTCATCTAAATCTAATGCTGATCTTAGGTCTTACTACAATACTTAAGTAGATCTATCTGGCAAAGGGACTTCCTTCCTTCCTTCCTTCCTTCCTTCCTTCCTTCCTTCCTTCCTTCCTTCCTCCCTCCCTCCCTCCCTCCCTCCCTCCCTCCCTTCATATTGTCCCAGCACATTTGGAAGCACAAGTTTGAGGAGATTTGTCTTAAGGTATTTCAGAAAATTAAAAATATTATCAAGTACCAATAAACAAATGGTAGTTAGAATGTTCTCAATAGCAAAAAATACTCTTTGGAACAAAATACCCCCTGGAATACGAATAATCCCAGATCTTCGCACTTTCCAACGTGCCCTGAAGACCTTTCTGTTTCAACAAGCAGGGCTAGCATAAACATCTAAATTCTATGCCAAGGTCTTAGCAGATACACCAAGTTGACTCAATTTATTATTTACTGTTTATAAAAAAAAATTATTATATGTATATGAAATCTTAATCTGTTCACCGCCCTGAATCCTTCGGGAGAAGGGCGGTATAGAAATTCAATCAAACAAACAATCAATCAATAAATAAATAAATGTGGCTCATCTCTGTGACCTGGCATCAGAATTTTAAGAGGTAGAAGTGTTCTGGTTTTGACTCATTGGATCAAGGGCAGTCTCCCAGCCTATCTTGATAATTTCCTTGAAACGAGGCTATGATCCCATGTCTCTGTTCTCCTTCTCTAAATGTTCTTTGGGTCAGGCACTTTATACAAAATTGCTGACTTCAATTCTCTATTGCAGAAAGTCTAGATAGGAGGAAGGGAAAATATCCACACAATCTTAACTAAAATTATGATTTCCAATGTTACCTTCCGGGCCACAAATACAGATCCATGTTGTATTGAACAAATACATCTGGTACATAACCAATCGGTGCAGAAAATGATACATACTACAGTATCACTTTTTTAAAAAAAACATTGACCCTTGAGCCTCGAGGCGATCTTGAGAGCTCACAGAAACATATTGATCTAAAGAGAGAGAGAGAGAGACCTAATATTCACATGGCTTTGGGATTTGTTCATTTTACTCCCACTTTCTGCAAAAGGGCTTTTGTATGACTCCTTACACGATGCAGAAAATGCAGGTAGCGTTCAAATATATTATAGCAAATATAACACAGGTGAAACTTTGAAAATGTCTACTGGACTTTATCTCATTATCTGGAAAGAAAACGTTAAAACATTTCTACACATTTAGCAAGTCAGGAAGCACTTAAATGGAACCCACTCAACTGGAATCCTCCAAAATGTATAGAATTTTTTAAAAGTTACATCAAAGTAAAAAAAAAAAAAACCTCTCTACTTAACAATGCCTTAGTTTGCTTCTTCTTTTCCTTAAAGCCACCCAGTGCTTAGTTCTCAAACTATCCATCTCAGTTCTGGTGCCTTCTCCAATATGTGTCAGTAAATGTAACGGGGGAAAAGAAAAAAAACCCATGTTCTTGAATAATAATCGTCTTGCAGGTTTCTGAAGTCCAAATTATATTTCTCTTTCTCAAATATTCATTTAAAAAGTATAGATTGTATTTGATTGAAGAGGAGGTCTGTAATGAATGGTATTCTTGTTTGCGTACAAAAACTAGCTCCCCGTGCCATTGCTCTGACAGTAATTGTGGTCTGAATGCAGACAGCACAATCACGGAGTGGGCTTAATGGCTACCCTGTGGATTGAGTGCTCCAATTTTGTTATTATCAGACTACTTTTTTAAAATGCAGAAATTAGCCAGGCCAGCAAAGAGTTAATTGAGTTCCTGTGCCAGAAAACTCTCCAAGAGTGTTAATTGAAAAGAATGCTTTGTCTTTTTAGGCACAGAGGAAATTTCAAAGACTCTCTAGATGATATCATGGACCCAGGAACTGAGGGTCTTTTTAAAGAGCCCTGACAACAAGGGAGATTCCCCTCCGAAGCATGCTCATCACGGGGGCATCTGAAAGAAATCCCAGAGCATCAGTTTATCTCCCTGATGCAGGAGGAAAAACAGGCATCCAGAAACTAGAGTTGCCTTGATTTCCTTTCCTCGGCATCCAATCTCTTTTTAAAACTAGGATACTGAGATTCTAGCGAAAGAGATCGACCTCAGCCGTGTAAAAAAGGGACAGGTCTCCCATTTCCATGTTTTCTTGCGCTCTTTCTGTCAAACGAGCTGCCGAAGCGATTGCTGGAACACCTTGCCAGCATTTCGTTTCTCCTCCGAATCAGCACATACAGGTAGTCCTCAACTTACAACAGTTCATTTAGTGACCGTTCAAAGTTACAAGCAGCACTGAAAGAAGTGACTTATGGCCGGTTTTCGCACTTATGACCATTGCAGCATCCCCACGGTCACGTCATCAAAATTCAGGCGCTTGGCAACTGACTCATATTTATGGCAGTTGCAGTGTCCCGGGGTCATGTGACCCCCCCTTTTGCAACCTTCTGACAAGCAAAGTTAATGGGGAAGCCAGATTCATTTAACAACCGTGTTGCTAATTTAACAACTGCAGTGATTCACTTAACAACGGTGGCAAGAGGGAGTGTAAAATGGGGCAAAGCTCACTTAACAAATGTCCCACTTAGATCAAAACAGAAATGTTGGGCTCAATTGTAGTGTTAAGTCGAGGACTACCTGTACACTGGTTCTCTAGACAGAAGTTTGCTTCTTCTGCAGAAGGACTCAAGCACAGTTGGTCTCCTGGGGTTCTTCCCCCTTCATCCCCTCAGGGTTCCCTCTCAGCCCAGTAACCCAACTCTTGGCCCAGAACCAAAATTCATCGCCTAATCAGGCTGCTTTCCCTTTCCAAGCATTTCCCAAAACGATTTGGGGTGGATCCAGAAAGAAACTGATGGTGTTGCTGTTCTACAAGATGTGATGTGAGAACTAGCAAAAAAACCCCAAAAAACCTTGTCACAATCTGGACTTCAAACGTGTGGGCACCTGGTAGAATTGCACAAGAGAGCATGCAATGCCAGCGACAAAAGGAGACATTGAGAATCAGAGAAGAGTTAATTACTGTAGCCTATCCGGTTTGGCACTGGCTACACTGACTGGCAATAGCTTTACAGGATTTCTGGGACGGATTTTTTATTTTTCAATCTACCTGGAAGAGCTGGGGATTAAATCCGGAAAAGATGGAGATGAGAAAGTTTTTCTAGATTATGGCAGAAATGGTTTGGGTAGTAGAAAAGTAAGCTTGCTATACAAGTTTACAAACTCGGGTTTATTTAACTGTGATTAACTGAATAAAGATTGGGCACATACAATCTTTCAAGCCACCTTATTCCAGTGGTGAAATCCAATTTTTTTTACTACCGGTTCTCTGGGCGTGGCTTGGTGAGCATGGTGGGCTTGGTGGGGGTGGCTTGGTGGGCATGGCAGGGGAAGGCTCCTGCAAAATCCACATTCTCTCCCCACTCCTGGGGGAAGGATATTGCAAAATCCCCATTCCCACCCCACTTTGGGGCCAGCCAGAGGTGGTATTTGCCGGTTCTCTGAACTACTCAAAATTTCCGCTACTGGTTCTCCAGGAGCTGTCAGAACCTGCTGGATTTCACCCCTGACTTATTCTCTAAGATGTAGACAGTCTGTTAACCTGCTATCCTCCGATTTTGAGATAGCAGAAATTAATTGTACTGTCCTGGCTGCAGAATGCTATTCTTTTATAGGAGCATTGCCAAAGTGTTGCTGTCCTGATAGTTTTAAAGTGGGACAACTTCAAGGATTGTGTTTGGTAGATTCTTGTGGTTTCTCTCCTGCCACCGAGTTTCACCAGCAGGGAAAAACAACCCCCAATCTCTCTCAATGTGTGATGAGTGCCACACATAAATCCAGTTAAAAGGAGCAGAGGACTGGCTAAAAGGAAGTGACAGAGGAGATAAAACTTTGGGCAACAATTATATGTCATTGTTGGTCAGGAAGAGAATATTTGATGCTCAGAATCTACATCACTTTAGTCTGAAGACCATTTTTAATTAAACATTACTGTAATTAAACTAGACGTATCAAATCCACTCTCGGCATGATCTCTAAGCCCGTGATAATCATTCTTTTCCCCACATGCCTTAGAGATATTGAAAAAGCTCTGAAATCATATTGTTGCTTTTTGCTGGTCGATGAGGCGTACCTGTATTTACAACAGCAGGAGGAGGTCCAGATGAGAATGGTATTATTTTCTGTTTTCCTATTTGTGCTGCTTCTTCTGCTGCTCTCATGAATGGGAAAGGCTCAGGGAAGGAAAGGGGAAAGGCTGGCCATGAAGGAGATGGAGCGGGGAGGGTGGGGGGAGGAGAATCTTCAGGCATTTTCAGCAAGCAACTAAACTGTTTCACCAAAAAAACAAAAACAAAATTTTTCATTCAGAGAAATAGGGGGGGAAGGGTAGAGGTATAAATAAAAACCAAGGGTACTATCTGCAGAATTGCAGAAACATGAATAAATGGACTTTTTAAGAGGTTACACATTCAGATAAAAATAAGAGCCATCAATTGATTCAACTTTGATTTTTATCCAAAGCCACTGTAAAA